GAAGCTTTGTTTCTGCCTCTGAAGTCTATATGAAACAAAAGATGAGATAAGGTTGATCAACAAATGTTACAATCATATATATATAAACTCATTCACAAAGATATGTAATTTGTGTTTACTCAGTAGGAGTTTATTATGTATCAAGGAAAGCATCTTGATGAAGATGATGATGATAACTACATTTATATAAAGTTTCTCTACGGAGAAAGTAAATTTTGAATTGTGTGTAAGGGATTATTTGCATGCAGAGATTGGTATAAGCACTAGAAGGAACAGAGGGATAACCTCAAATGGGGTTGGAATAGAGAGTGGGCAGAGGGAACCAGAGAGAGGTCAAAGTTGTTACATATAGTGAAAGCAACTGGTACAATACACACTACAGCCAAAAGGATGTGACTAGGGAAATTAGAAGCTAGTGAAGAGAGGATTGATGTGTTTTAAAATATAATTAAGAAAGATGTTAGTGAAATTATTCAATGTGAACTGAAGACAGCCAATACTGATGGCATTACTTTGGGATTGTAGAGGAAGAAAAGGAGGAAAGGAAGAAGAATGAATACCTTTCATGCATATAATGCTTTAAAGGTTACAAAGCCCTTTCTTTATATGCTTGTATATTGGATAGTACAGATCTTATTCCTGTTTACAAATGAGGAAATCAAAGCTCATACACAGACTAAGTGATTTGCACAATGATTACCACACTAGAAAATGAAGGAGTTGGTCCTTGAACCCAGAACTTTCATTTCAAGGTTCAGATCTTTCTACTATAAAATTTAAAATTATAACACATTTAGACAAGCTCTCATATGAAATTTGCCAATTAATATCTACTATTTAAATTTTTACAGCCAATATTTCTGATAAAGACCTATATATAGAGAGAAGTGAATCAAATTTATAAGAATATAAATCATTCCCCAATTGATAAATGAACAAAGGATATGAACAGACAGTTTTCATATGAAGAAATTAAAGCTATCTATAATCATATGAAAAAATGCTCTAAAACACTATTGATTAGAGAAATGCAAATTAAAACAACTCTGAGGTTCCACCTCATGCCTATCAGATTGGCTAATATGACAGAAAAAGAAAATGATAAATGTTGGTGAAGATATAGAAAATTGGAACACTAATGCATTGTTGATGGAGTTGTAAACTAATCCAACCAGTCTGGAGAGCAATTTGGAACTACGCCCAAAGGGCAACCCTTTGATCCAGCAATACAACTACTAGGTCTGTATCCCAAAGAAATCAAAAAAAGGGAAATGGACCCACATATACAAAAATATTTATGGCAGCTCTTTTGTGGTGGCAAAGAATTGGAAACTGAGGGGATAAATAACCATCAATTGGGGAATAGCTGAACAAGTTTTGGTATTAAATGTAATGGAATACTATTGTGCTGTAAGAAATGATGAGCAGGTGGATTTTAGAAAAGCCTGGAAAGACTTACATGAACTGATTCGGAGTAAAGTGAGCAGAATCAGGAGGACATTATACATAGCAACAGCAATATTGTGCTATGATTAACTCTGATAGACTTAGCTCTTTTCAGCAATACAATGATCCAAGACAAATGAACCATATGATCCAAAAGATTCGTGATGGAAAATGCTAACTACATCCAGAGAAATAACTATGGAGCCTGAATGCAGCGCTAAACATACAATTTTCATTGTTTTTTGTTTTTTTCTTTCTCATGGTTTTTCCCCTTTGTCCTGATTCTTCTTTCACAATATGACTAATGTGGAAATATGTTTAACATGATTGTACGTGTATAAGTTATATTGGATTGCTTGCTGTCTTGGGGAGGAGGGAGGAGAGAGATGGAGAAAAATTTGGAACTCAAAATTTTACAAAAGTGAATGTTGTAAACTATCTTTACATGTAATTGGAAGAAAATAAAATACTATTAAGGAAAAAAATCTGTTCTTTAAAACTAAGAATCAGGACACAGAAATAACTAGAAAACAAAAGAACACAAAAACCACAATAAAACAAGGACAGCAGTCTAATACAATAAAAAAGAACACTGGCTCTGGAATCAGAGGATTTGGGTTCAGATCCTATCTCTGATACTTACTAAATGAATGACCTTAGGAGAGTCAGTCAACCTCCCTAGGTTTCAGTTTCACATCTGTAGAATGAAGGCATTGCCCTAGATGGACTTTGAGTTCTTCTTTAATCATAGATTAAACAATGCCAGGCATTGTGCTAAGTGATGGAAATTCAAAGAAACTAAAAAATAGTCCTTGGTCTCAAGGAGAACATATTCTAGTTGGGGATACAGGACAGAAACTGGATTTATGATTTCACTGACACAGGAAACTCCTATTGAGAAACAGTCTTAGATAGTAGTGACTTGGTTAGTGTCAGCCAGAGGCAGGATTTAAATTTTTACTTTTGTGTCCAATTACATGTAATAACAATTTTTCAGTGCATAGAGCACCGACCCTGAAGTCAGGAGGGCCTGAGTTCAAACCTGGCCTCAGACCAAACACTTGACACTTACTAGCTGTGTGACCCTGTGCAAGTCACTTAACCCCAATTGCCTAAAATTTTTTTTAAAAAAATTTAAAAACACAATTTCTAGCATTCTTTTTAAAATTTTGAGAAGGAAATGGATTAGATATGGATCGTACCATGTTCAGTCATCCAAAACATATTTCCATGTTATCCACGTTTCAAAAGAAAACAAAGAACAAAAACAAAACAAAACCAAGAAAAAAAAATGACCAAGCCCAAGAAAAATTAAGTAAAAAAAAAGTATGCTTGGATCTGCATTCAGATTCCATCAGTTCTTTCTCTGGAGGCAGACAGCATTTTTCATCATAGGTCCTTCATTATTATATTGGATCATTGTATTGCTGAGAATAGCTAAGTCATTCACAGTTGATCATCATACAATACTGTATTAGTGTTCTGCTCATTTCACTTTGTAATCAGTTCATATAAGTCTTCCCAGGTTTTTTTCTGAAATCAGCCTGCTTGTCACTTCTTATAGTACACTCACATACCACAACTTGTTCAGCCATTCTCCAACTGATGAGCATCCCTTCAATTTCCAATTCTTTGCCACCACAAAAAGAGCTACTATAAATATACATATATGTCCTTTTCCTTTTTTTTGGGGGGGGGAGGTGGACATCTCTTTGGGATATAGAACTAGTAGCAGTATTGCTGGGTCAAAGGGTATGCACAGTTTTATAGCCCTTTGGGCACAGTTCCAAATTGTTCTCCAGAATGGTTGGATTAGTTCACAGCTCCACCAACAGTGCATTAGTGTTGAAATTTTTCCACTTCCCCTTCAATATCCACATCCCCTCCAACATAATACATCAGTGGCAGGATTTGAATCCAGGTCTTCCTGAGTCTGAGACTAGCTCTCTATCTAAGATACATACAAGATACATTTAGAGTAGATAGATGGCAACCTTCAAGGGGATAACAGCAGCTCAGGAGACTGGAAAAGGCCTTTTGCAGAAGAGAGCCATTGAACCAGATCTAGGGGAAAACCAGAGGAACTATAAGGCAGAGGTGAGGAGATAGCAAATTTCACACACGAAGGGACAGTCCGTTCAAGGACCTTCCTGTAATAGAAGAGCAAATAGGTTCATATGCCTGGTTCCTAGAGGGAATCAGAGTTCATGGAGGGAAGTAAATTGTGAAAAAAATTGAAAGGTAGGAAGGATCCAGATTGTAAAGACCTTTAAATGACAAATGAATGGGTTTATATTTTATCCTAAAGGTAAAAGGGAGCCACTTGAGTTTGTCGAACAGGGGGTGACATGGTCAGACCTGAACTATAGGAAAATCACTTTGGCAAGTTGTATATAGAATGAAGTGGAGTAAAGGTGTGACCTGAGGCAGGAAGTCCAAACAGAAAGCTATTGCATGTAACAGGCCCAGGAAGAGGTGATGAGGGACTAAACTATGGCAGTGGCTTGTGAGTGGAAGAAAGAGAATATTATAGGGGAGATGTGAAAATGTTGTAAATGACCAGATTTGGCAACTTGGAGTGACAGTGAAGAGATGGGGATGACAAGGGTATGGACCTGGATGATTAGGAGGATGGTAGTTCCTTTATAGCTCTAGATCTAGAATCCTATAAACTAGGTACTTAATAAGTATCTTATATACTTAATAAATGTATATATGTATGTATATACACATATACACATATATAAAATCTCACTTGATCCTTCAAATAACCCTTTGAGGTAGATGCCATTATTAGTATTTGAGAATTTCGAGAATTTGTATTTGAGAATATTTTTAAGAAACTGAAGCTTAAAGAGGGTTAAGTGACCCAGGTTCAAACTGCTAGTAGGTGGAATCCAGATTTTTCCCAACTCCTATACTTTTGTATCTTACCACACAAAAGAAATCCTCCTTGGTCAGCAACCGTAATGGGCTGGGGAGGCATTAAAGGAGATAAAGAAAGAATGAAAACATAAAGAAAAGAGCTGCTGACAGCAAAGAAAAATTGTTACCAAAGAATATTACACCACTGTTCCACCTTTCTCCTGCTGAATAACTTATGCTCAAAAGGGCCCTCAAAATAGGAAATTATTTTTGGTGGAGGGGGTTTTTGGCCCACCTGTACCAGAAGCTGGCTGCTGGACTTTAGACCATGCAGGAAAACAATTTCTCCCTTCCCCCTTCAACCTCCCTCCCTTGAGGACAGCCTTGAGAATGAACTTGGCAGTCCAAAGGCTGCGGCTCTGCACCAGGTGTTGGCACCTGGCGCCGCCTCCACGCGCAGCCCAGATTCTAACTAGGTTAAAGTGCTGGCGAGGGGGGTGTGGGGGGGAAGGATGGGGAGGTGGGGGTAGAAAGCTCTTTTTCCCAGCATTGAAGACGCTCCGCCCCACGCGGCCGGAAGGTCCCGCTCTATAAACTCGTGGCCCGGCCCCCCTACTCTCAAGGGCGGCGTCACCCCGGAGCGTCCTCCCCCAGACCACCTCCAGGCGCCCCACCCCCAGCCCCCTCACCATGTGCATCGCCTTCTCCATCCACGCCTCTCTCTCCTCCGCCGACACTGACACACCTCGGGCTGCGACCGCTGCAGTAGTAGTCTCCTCCATCCCGCTCCCGCAGCTGGAGGCCCGACTAACCAAGGCGGCAGAGCAAGCGCAGGCTGGCAGCCAGGCAGAAGAGAGCGGGCAGCGGAACGTCAGAGGCCCGCAGCTGCTGTTTCCGGGGGAGCTGCCGGATGGTGGGCACACCGGGGACCGAATTCGGGACGGACGCTGCTTTCCGGCCCGAAGCAGCCGCATCAGCGGCCGCGGGCGGGACGGCGGCCAACACGACTCAGTCGGGTCTCCATGCCCCCTTCCCTCTCCGCTGACAGTCGAGCCGGAGACTGGCGGCAGTGATTTCCCCAGGAGGACCCGGGGAAGGGGCGAGGGCGACAAGGTACCTTGTCCCTGGGACCAGACCGGCCAGCCGCGTTCACCCGAGAAACCGTTCCCCTTCCCCCCGCTCCTTCTTCCAGGTCCCCAACCCCCCCGGGGCTCGCGGGTCCTCAGCCCCCGGCACTCCCTGTCTCCCACCTCCGGGACCGGAAGATGCTCAGGTCCGTGTGGAATTTTCTGAAACGTCACAAGAAGAAATGCCTGTTCCTGGGCACAGTCCTCGGAGGTGGGTGCAGGCGCTGGGGGGACGTCTGGGGGCGGAGGGACCCTGCCCTCCGGCTCATCCAGCTCCTTTGCTTGCTCATCCTTTCTCTCCCTGGCTGAAGGAGGTGGGGGAGAGGAGGACGCAGGATATCCAGGGAATGGTTTTCCCTTGTACGACTTCATAGAGTTAAAGAGCTAGAAGGGCCCTAAGATCTCCAATGCCCTCATTTGACAGAGGAGGAACCTGAGACCCGGTGAAGTGAAGTGTCTTGTCAAAGGTAGTATTACTTAGCCAGCTGGGTCTTTTTTTTTTCCTGTCACATACCTTGATTAGGCAGATTGCCTCTGGATCCCATTTACTACTGAAGTGACCTATTGCAAGCAATCCAGTTGCAACACTCAGAACTTTGCATTGAATTCTTTACCAGGAGTTTCACAAAACATAAGACATTGCCCAAAGTCTGTCTTTCTCTTTCCCTCTCTATGTCCTCCCTCTCTTCCATCTCCCCCTCTTTCTCATTCTCCCTTTTCCCTCTCCGCCTCTCTCCTCCCCTCTCTGCCTCTTCTCTCCTCCCCTCTCTCTCCCTCCTACTCCCCCTCTTTCCCTCCCCCCGTGTCTCTCTCTCTCTCTCTCTCTCTCTCTCTCTCTCTCTCTCTCTCTCTCTCTCTCTCTCTCTCTCTCTCTCTCTCTCTTTTAAACTATATTGTAGTGTTTGAACACACAGTTGGATATGCTGAGGGGTCTGAGTACTTTTTTTTAATTGATCATTTAATCCTTTTTTTCTTTAATTCAATGTAGTAAGGACTACATTCTAAAGTATGACCTAGATGGACAACTGAGAGGTTCATCAATCTTCTTTAAGCTTAAGATATCCAGCTCCGTTCTGTTTGGAGCTTGCACTGGAATCATAAAGGCAGATAAAAGAAATTCTTAGGGGCTCTTCCTGTAGCCATAATAACTAAAATTTACAGGAGGCCAGGGAGAGAAAATGTTGGTATGCCTGTACATAAGTAGATGGACTCTTGTAAGCATGAGGTTTTAATATTCTTATCACTAAATACGTGCACTAGATACAAAACTATTTAAAAATCAAGGACAAAAATTTCCGAAAGAGCTTGACCCATCTATCTTTTATTTATGGTTTTCCATGCAAAGCAAGCCATAGATAAATAATAACACATTCTAGTCATCAGCAATTCAGATTTGTGGCTAATTTTGTGTTTTAATCCTAAAAGCTTGAATCCAAATCCTTGTTATTGTTGATGGAGGTATGGTTCTGTTTGAGGCTGTGAGTAGGTTTTTTGTTTTTGTTTTTGCTGGTTTGAAGTTTTAAATCTTTATACATTTATATGTTTTTATTTAAACTGCGCAGATGGCATTCAATGTTCCATTATTTAATTACACTGAATGTTTAGCCTGGAGAAGTGTTAGTGAGAATTTGATAAAGGTCTTCAGATTTTTGAAGGATTATCATTTGGAAAGAAGAAATAAACTGACTTTGGTCTCAGAGGGCAGAGCTAGGAACAATGAATACAAGTTATTGAGACACAGTTTTTTAGCTAAATATAAGGCAAAACTTACTGAAAATTAGAGTTGTGCCTTTGAAAGGAAGAAGAAGAGGAAGAAGGAAGAAAGAAGAAAATCGCTGCATGGCTTAGTGAATAAAGACCAGAATTCACATCTGGCCTCTGATGCTTACTAGCTGTATGACTCCAGGCAAATCACTTAAACTCCTGACTTTCTAGTTTTCTCATCTGTACAAATGGGAATAAGAGTGCCTACATCTCTCAAGGGTTGTTGTGAAGATAAAATGAGATAATATTTAAAGTGTTTTGCAAGCCTTAAAACTTTATACAAATTCTATTATTTTTAATAACTAATAGCCTATGTTTGTATAGCACTTTAAAGCTTACAAAACAATTTCTATGCTTGGTACTATATATATTTTTATCTTTGTTTTAAAGTTGAAGAAGTTGAGGCTCAGAGCAATCAGGTGATTTACCAGTTGTCTCATAGCTAGTAAATGTCAGAGGTGAGATTTGAAACTGGGTTTCTTTTGACTTACAGATTAGGTTTACTCTGTAAAAACCAAGAATTTCTTAATGATGGCAAAAGTATAAATATAGCATTTTATTGAGTTCTTGTTGACTTGTAAGGAAGTTGAAATCTTACAATGGTCCATGAAGGAATAGGAATATTCTCTTTCAAGTTGAAAAGGGAAGACTGAAAGAAAGCTGTAGAGGACATCATTTCTTGGGCTTTTTTTCTGGGTGATCATAGGTAAAAAAGATGCAAAGAACTTTATGCTATACATTGTAGATGCAGAAATATTTAGAACAGGAAGAGAAATTGATTTTAAGGTCTTTACAGACATGAAGAAACAAACTTTTTTTTCTTTCAAAATTGTAGTTAGTTAAGGAAAGTAAAATAGTGGAGGATCACAATAAACATTTACCTAAAATACATCAAGCCTCTCGGTTAAGGGTAAAGCATACATTAATTTAGATGTCAGGCTCAATGATTCAAAAATATGGAGAGAGAAATTGCTAAAACTATGGGAGCTATCTTATCTGTTGATTGAGTTGACTGTATGTCTACATGGCAGATGTTTGAATGGGAAATGTGGCTGGCTTCTAGTAAGACTAAAATAAGTAAATGTTACAGAAGAGTGGGCCACTGGTTACAGTGCATCTTACTTGCTTATTGACCACTATGAGAAAATATAGTACGTGAATTTAATTTATGATTCTGCCTCCAGAAATTGCTGGGTCATTTTGTATGTAGCTTCTGTGTTTATAGTACACAAAACTTTTACAGAAAATCTAAAGTGAGGAAAAAGCAAACTGTTCAGGAACCTTTCTTCCCTATTCTTCATCTCAAAACCAATCCTTTTTTCCTTTATTCCAGTCTCTGCTGAGGAGGCAGGCCTTTCTCCTTTCCAAGACCATCCCTTCTAGTTTTATTCTTCCTCCCATTCCTTCCCTTTCCTTTAGCAAATTCCACAATAATCTTCCCAATCCTTATCTTCAATTTCTCCTTATCTACTGGCTCCTTCCTTCCTGCCCAGGTTCTTTTCCATCCTTAAAAACTCTGAATTGTCCCTACTGTCTTCTCAAACTATTCTCCTGAATATCTGTTTTCACAGCCAAATTTCTGAGGGAAAAAAAGAAGTCATCTGCACTGATTGCCTCTACTTCTCCTTTCAATAACTTTTCCAACCCATTGTAATACTAGCTTCCAGCATCATCACTTAAATTAAACTGCTTTGTCAAAATTGTCATTGATTTCTTATCAAGTCTGATGATCTTTTATCAGTCCCCATCATTGACCTCTCTGCAGCATTTCAAACTGTGGACTGCTCTCTTCTCCTAAATACTATCCTGTCTAGGTTTTCCTGACATTGCTCACTCTTGCTTCTCCTCCTAACTCTCAAACTACTACTCGATCTCCTTTGCTAGAATGTCACCCATATGATGTCCCCTAATTATAAATATACTTCAAGGACTCTGTCCTGTGCCCTCTATTCCTCTCTATATGCAGTAATCTAAGATCTTATTAACTTCTCTTGGTTCAATTATAAGCTCTATGCAGATGATTCCCAAATTTTTTTATGTAACCCTAGTTTCTCCTGAATACTAATTCTACATCGGCTGTCCATTAACAACTCATTATCTTTTCTCCAAAACTCTACCTTGTTCTTAACTTCTTTATTTCTGTTCAAAGTGCCACTATCCTTCCATTCACTTGGGTTCACAAACCCAGAGTCATCCTGTACACTTCCTTTCCCTCACATCTATTCAGTCTTCAAGTTTTGTTGATGCTACCTTCATAATTTATCTCTCATCTTTTCTTTCTCTCTATTCACATGGTTACCTCTGCAGCTTAAGCCTTATTATTGGCAAATAAACTTATTTTGTGTTCCTTATGTTATTTAATTTAGTAAAACTCAAGACAATGGTTTTGCCTTTTGTAAAATAAAAATTACTTACTAGCTGTGTGACCCTGGGCAAGTCATTTAACCCTGATTACCTTCTCTCCCTCCCCACCCCCCAAAAGAAAAGAACATTTAATTTCACTGATCTTTCACAGATAGAGATTCATAGATGGATAAATTGAGGTTTTGGTCCTTTTTTTTTAAGCATTGTAAGAAACATTCTAATACCATAGTTAGTTCATTTTTTTGAAATTTGTGAACTTTTAGGAGTATATGTCCTTGGGAAATATGGACAAAAGAAGATCACAGAAATACAAGAGAGGGAGGCTGCTGAATATATAGCCCAAGCAAGACGACAATATCATTTTGAAAGTAACCAGAGAACTTGCAATATGACAGGTAAGACAAAATAATATTTCTCCATGTATAGAATTATTTATGTGTGTACATGGGTATACTGTTTATAAATACGCACATATATATATATATATATATGAAACATGTATATATGCACCGTGTGTGTGTGTGTGTGTGTGTGTGTGTAAAATAAACTTTGAGACTGAAGATTGTTCTTTTGTTTTGTTTCTTGTTTTGTTGTTGTTGTAGTAGTGACTAGAGCAGTAGCACAGAAGCCGAAACTTCTAAAGTCCAGCTTCTGACACAAATTGGCTGTGTGACCCTGAGCAGGTCACCTAATCTCTATGCTCTTGGAACATTAAACTCAAATGGAAATGGATCCCTGTAGGTCTCATATTGATTTAGGAAACCATAAATTAGCATATTTACCAATTACATTTTAATCTGGTTAGGGCAGGACTGTCAG